ATATATATATTTTCCATTACCTTGAACAATTTCTGCAAAATTTGGACAAGACAAAAGATGGACAAGGACAATTGTTCCTCATTGACAGAATTCATATTACTTGGAATTTCCAACAACTCTGATATGAAAGTGGTTCTATTTACCATGTTTCTTCTTGTCTACGTCATTAATCTTGTGGGAAATGTTGGAATGATTGCTCTAATTCGAGCCGATCCCCAGCTCCACACACCCATGTACTTCTTCCTCAGTAACCTCTCCTTCTGCGATCTCTGCTATTCCACGGCAGTTGGACCCAAGATGCTGGCTGATATATTTGGCAAGGACAAGTCAATTCCTTTCTTTGGCTGCGCTCTGCAATTCTTCATTTCCTGTACATTTGTGGATTCTGAGTGCATTCTGCTGGCAGTGATGGCCTTTGATAGGTACCAGGCCATCAGCAACCCGCTGCTCTATACAGCAAACATGTCCAGCCAGCTGTGCACCCTGCTCATGGCTGGAGTTTACCTAGCAGGCGTGGCAGATTCTCTGATCCACACGACATTAACGTTCCACTTATGCTTCTGTCGGTCTAATGAGATCGATCATTTCTTTTGTGATATCCCTCCCATCTTAATACTGTCTTGCTCAGACACGCAGGTAAATGAGTTGGCAATATTTACCATTTTTGGGTTTATTGAACTAAGCACCATCTCAGGAGTCTTTGTTTCCTATTGTTACATCATCTTATCGGTCCTAAAGATTCGCTCTGCTGAGGGGAGATTCAAAGCCTTCTCCACCTGTGCCTCTCACTTAACTGCGGTTGCAATTTTCCAGGGAACTGTACTCTTCATGTATTTCCGGCCAAGTTCTTCTTATTCCCTAGATCAAGACAAAATGAGCTCTTTGTTTTATACTCTTGTGATTCCCATGCTGAATCCTCTGATTTACAGCCTGAGGAACAAGGATGTGAAAGATGCCCTGCAGAGAATGAAAACTAAAAGGTGCTCTTGAATCCATAGTATAAATCCCCACTTTTCCCATTCATATATAGTGATCTTTGTTTTCCTAAAACTATGTATAAGAAAAACAGAATTTAATCTAATTTTTCTTTCCTGAAATGAATATTCATTACAAAGCATAATCATAGGAGAATTGTTTCCTGTATTGCTGTGTTCCATTAGGACTAGAATTTAAGTATAATATGATTTCTACATAAAAAATTTCCTGACCTTTTAAATTTTGACAGATTTTAATCAGGTTATTCTTTCTCTCAGTCATTATTTCAATTATACTAAAATGGTAATGTTTTTACTAAGGCATTTCATGCCTTTAAGCAAAGTGTTTCCATGGTGCATCTAGTCATTTCTGTAACAGCAAATCCTAGAATGTAGTGGAAGTAACAAATTTGAATTTTCTAAGAATTTTTTAAAAGTATATTAAATCTTCATATTTCTGGGAATTGGGACGGTTAGAAAAATTAAATCCAGAAGTAAATATTGAAATATTCATTGTATATCAAAAATATTTCCTTGAAAGCAGACATTCAATGTTAAGTAAGTAGGTATATTGGGAAAAGGAAAGGGTTTTAGTTAGAAGGTCCGAAAAAGCAAAGGGGTAGAAAACGCATATTATTTTAGAAGTAAAATGTTCATCATCATAAAAGACCAATTAAACAACCTTTATAAAAAGTATACTGTACTGTAGCTGTTAGCTGTGAACACCTCACCATTTCATTCATGATTTCTTTCTGTTTTTCTCCTTTCACTATTCATGTAAATGCCTCATCTTGTCGATTCCAGACAAATATCTTCTAAAAGCATCATTTCACTATCACTGTGAAATGTTTTCTGCCAATATGAGATTGTGGGTGTCTTTTTAAGGATTGAGTGTTCAATCTCTGATATTTAAAAAGCATACATTGTGTTTGTTCAAAACAAAAAACATGGAGAAACAGGTAAATAATAAACTAATGAAGTTAGAAAACCTTAGTGTTAATATAAACACAGTAAAACAATAATAACTTACTATGAGGTGCTTTAAATACAATATATCTAATATGTTTTAAGGATCTATATAAAATACTATGAATGCCAAGAGAAATAATCCATAGGGAAAAACATATCAACTGCTTAGGAAATAAAGAGCATTCATTTGTGTATCTGAATACTTGTTTATTGTATCTCTTTTCAGCAACCATTTTCTTATTATTGAACATGAAATCAGTTTGTGGATAAAATATGGACATGGACATGGCCATTTATTCAAAAGAGGGTAGAATACTCAAAAACAATCTAAATTACCTGTAAATGATAGAAACTATAACCCAAAACATGCCACTAGTTTTATACCTATACTTAAAGACCATCTGTGTGAAAATATTTTTGGAATGAAATAAATTGCCAGGGACTGAAAAGCCTTTCAAGGAGTATTGATAGGTTGATGTGGTGGGAGAAAGGTATAATAGTGGTTGATTCCAATGGAGAATTCTAATTTTCTTGAAAGACTTTAAAGCTTACCCCCAGTACTATGTTTTCTTTAATTCATACTGTTGGGATCATTAACTTGAATATAAGCATAGCAGAAATACTGAAGCATGTTAAATGTGTCAGTTCAATGGATTATTAATGAGTTGAGCAGAGTTCAGTTTGTAAACATGTCCTCTTGATGGCCTTTCTCCTTCCAACACAGCAGGAGTGTTACAGAATCTGAAGAGTAGCTTAATTTAGTGTTGGCTCCTGTTAACAGACCTAAAGAACATGGAATAAAGGAAAGAGCATTCAAAGTTCAAAACTGGAAACTTGCAAATAGAATTGATAGATTTTGTTAACCATGGACTTATGGTTCCATAATTGTCATTTTAAACAGCATCTGTGCTGTAGCTCAGAATGTCATTGAACAAACTGTGAAGCTCCAACTCGTTGTGAATCACAGTTAACTTGCCTTTATTTCCTGATTTCCTCTCTGAATTTATAAATCAAAATATAAAATTTGGGGGAATGTTTTTAGATTATTCAAAAGGTTTTATTTTTAATTCATGATCACTGTTTCCGTGTGCCCTAAGGGGGTCTTCTTGTGTCTCAGAGTATATTTGTAGACCAGAAGAAAACTACTGTTATCTTTTGTTTTTCTCATGTATATTAGTGTACTGCTTGCAAGTATGTAATAGCACCCATGCTGTACAATGCCTGTAGAACTCAGAAGATGGGGTATGATCCCCTGGAACTGGAATTAGGATGGTTGTTGGCTGCCACATGAGTGCTGGGACTTGAAACCAAGTCTTCTACAGGATCAGCCAGTGCTCTGAACAGCAGTGCCATCCCTCCATCCCATGGACAACTTTTGTGGAGTAAATAGTTCTCTCTTTATATTTTTATGAATGCTCTGGGAATTGAAGTCAGGCCATCGGGCATGTTCCTCAACTGCCTTTATATGCTGATATCCTTACTCCTGAAATATATTTTTGGAGCACATCATGTATATTGGACTTTTTGTTTTTGTCTTTTGGAGAGTGGATTTCCCTGTAGCCTCAGGTGGCCTAAAATTGGATCAGGCTGGCCTTGATCTAGCAGAGATTTGCTTGTCTTTGCCTCCCGAATGCTGGGATTATAGGCATATAACACTGCACCATGCATGTATCTAGAGATTCATTGAAACATTTAGTACAACATCAAAAGTATTTTAGTTTTCATATCTAACCTAATTAAGTATTTCTTGGTCCTTTTTTTTTTCGATTAGCTCCTCTAAATCACATCCTTCTCATCCATCCAAGCATGATGTTTTCAATTATATAGGGGAATAAGTGTATGGTCAGTTTAAATTTCCACTTTTGGTCCTTGCTATAAGAATTCCTAAATAGAAGACTAGTACAGCACACGTACTTTTGGATAACTGTGTAGGGAGGAGCACAGTCAGATGCTCTAGTGTGGTTGGGCTGTGCATGTGCCTAATGCAAAATAAAGCAGTAAGGATAACTCTCCAAGGGAAACACATGTGTGCATAGAAATGTGCAGCAATGTTTAATGTATCATGATCTCCCTCTTTCCCCCTTGATACATTATGGAGGATGTACTTAATACCACTGAATATTACCATCGCACTTGTAAGATGAATTTTCCTTTCAAAAAGTCACCTAACCTCTGCAAAGAAGAGATTAGCCTAGATTATTTCTATGTTCTTTTCCAGCAGTTTTGTTTTGTTTTGTTTTGGTTTTCTGCTTCTGAATAGTATCAACTGTTCTAGGAATCTATTACTATGCCAAACCCTCCTCACTTGATTTTTTAAAACATATTTCCTTGATACACATATAAAAGAATTAAACTATACTTTTAGGCTATTGACCTGAATTAGTGATGAAAATGACATCATATAGATAATATGAATTAGGTTAGACCACATATAGTAAGCCCAAGCATTGTATCTGACCTCTTATATTTTCCTAATTTTCAGATGTGGATTCCAACCTTATAATGTTCCACTAATTATTTGTTTAAGTCTCAGTATAGTATTGTTTCCCTGAGAAAATGATTAAAGTTAAAACATTCAGAGATTGAGTAGAAAATGGAAAACAACAATGGTTCATATACATTGATGAGATATAAAGGAATCAGTGTCCTGTTCTCTAAAATGATGTGGAAGGATCTATCATAGACATACATATGAATGGCCTATGTCCTCAGCATTCCTACCCCTAGATTAATACTTGACTTAAATTTGCCACTGTTTTAAATCTAATATATGCAAAAATTAAGGTGAAATTCACATAACTTAAAACATATATTTCATGTAACCAAAACCATTGTATTATAAAAAGAGTAGTATAATTCCTACAAAAAGAAACTCCTTAAAGTATTCACTATAGTATGATTTTTCTGTTGCATTACAGTAAGGATAATTACAATATATGCACACATTGGATGAGGTATGGTAGATGCTAGAAGAATCCTACTATACATATTTCAACATTTTGAAGATCTAAAACTACATGTCACTACTTGTCATTGACTTTTTAGGCAAAAAATATTGTACACAGCATACAATAAAATGTTGTTTCTGTTTTCAAATAAAATGTGTGGTACTGTCTGTCACTAGTGGCACTAGGAAAACTTAATATAGGAATCCTTTTCTGATATAAGTCTGATAAAAATAATTCCCCTGGTTGTTTTTTAAAAAGTAATTATGAAAACACATGTCAACTGAGTAGTTAAATTTGCTTATTTAATTAAAACCATTTCAGGGGCTAGAGAGATGGCTCAGTCATTAAGAACACTGGTTGCTCTTGCAGAGGATCTGAGTTCTATTCCCAGCACCCACACGTTGGTTATCAACTGTCTCCAGTTACAGGGGAATCTCATGCCTACTTCTGACCCCCGCGTGTGTTGCACAACAAGGGTGCACTTGCACACATGCAGATAATACATTCATACACATAAAAATATATATATATATGTGTGTGTGTGTGTGTGTGTGTGTGTGTGTGTGTTAGAAACATTGTGACACTCAAGTTGAGTGGAAAAAGCTCTATACCAAGGGGATGAATGGTATTGTACTTATATATGAACATATGGACCCTATACACAAAACATGAATACTAAGTGATCTGAAGGGAAATATTAGACCGCCACAAAATAAAGGTAGAGGAGTTTCATATTAGTGCTTGCCTTTCAATAATACGTTAACCATACAGACAGAAAGTCAAGAAGGAAGCAGTTGACTTTAAACGAGATATTTCTCACAAATATTAGTGGAGAACCATCCACTAATGATCTAATACACATTCTTTTAAAGAGCTTAATGAACCTTCTCCAGAATGCATCACATGTTAGATGACAAAACAAGTCTTAATACATTTGGTGAAAAAGTCATAATCAAATCATGTATATATTTCTACCTTAGTATGAATATAGAATTTATTTATAAGAAATATGACAGGTAATTAACAAATTTGGGGGATTTAATATTATGTCTGTACAAAATTAAAGGCTAAAAATCTATTTTGAAACAAACAAAACAGG